TTTCTCTCTCTCTCTCTCTCTCACACACACACACATACACACACATACACACACACACACACACACACACACACACACACACACACACACACACACACACACACACACACCGCCACCTGTTGAGCGCATCGGCTCTAGTCTTTTTCGCAGAAGGCGAGAGCCGTCCCGACGATGTCATGCATGAGTCAAACAAAGCAAAATATGGGAGACAGAGACAACGAGTAAGTAATCTCGCAAGCTGCTGAAACGGATGTGGTTTTGTTGTCACCTCGCCAGTCTAACGGGGTGCGCGAGTTGTACTTCCGGCGGTCTCCTACGACAGGGTAGGCTTCCGCGGGGCACAACTTACCTTCCCTAAGGGGCTGTCACCACCCTTCGGGGCGTATCCCTACCGAGCCATTGACCCACGTGCGAAAGCTTTTAAACCACCAGTACTTGGCTCATATGTCGGCCGCAGGGCGTTGTCGTTAAAGCCCCACAAGTTTCAGAGGCTCAGTGTACCGGACCTGAAAGGTTGACGCCGCCAGCCAAAACCATTTTTTTTCGTTTTGCTGGCAGGTCGGCGCGAAACGGCGCGCAGGGCATATTCAGGCTCGACATCGATAGCTCGGCCAAGTATATGTAGTTTAAATGCAATTGCAGAGGTAAGTCAGCCAAGGGTGTTTAACGTCGCTCGTTTCTCAGGGCGCTGATCTCCTAAGCTCGGAGCGTATGCAGGTCAACTAGGACGGCTTGCTATGATCTGTGAAGGGAATGAGCGAAAGAATTTGGGTTCTTTTAAAACAACACACACACATGTGTGGCAGTGTATGTTCCCATGTTATAGCAGTAGATTCATTCGATTTTGCTCATCCTATCGATGGAAGTACCATGAGGTCAGCCGCGAGGTTGGAGACTTTCCTGTTCTCTTCTCTCCCTCTCTCTCTCTCTCTCACACACACACACACACACACAAACACACACTAGGATCAGGCTCGTACTAGCGAGCTATTCTCTCTTTTTGCGGTTGGATATGTCGTATTGGTTTTGTTGATTATACACGGCCTAATTCTTTGGCCTGCTTTAGAGCATGGGCTGTTTGGATGTTTACGGGTGGCCACGAGTTCCCTTCGGGGGGAATGTATGTTTCGTGGGCCGTCGTGGAAGGCTTTCCCAGTTTTTTTGGACCCTTAGCAGGGGGGGCCGATGCGTTCTTGCTGGAGGAGTCTTCTGTCTTAGGAAAGTTCTCTTATGTTCTTCCTCCTCTTTGGCAGTGATGCGAGTGTGTAGTTTAAGATAAATGTCGGGAATGCCAATGCTGTTATATTTGTTTGTTTTTGGTAGATGAGTTTTTGGTTTTGTGGGCCGATGCGGAAGGCTCTCCAAATTTTCTCGGACCTTTGAGGGGGTTGGGTCGGTGCCTTCTTGCTGGAGAAGTCTTGTCTTAGGTAAGTTGCCTTCTGCCCTCCATCACCTTGTGGAATTTGAAAATATGCATGTGTATATGTGCAAGTGTGCAGCTTTGGCGGCAGACGGGTGTGTGGGCACATGGCGCTGAACCACACAAGCGTGGCCAACCTTGCATTTTCTTTCACATTAGCTATCTATACCTTTTTGTTATGGATGGATGTTTTGTCTGATGTGGAGGAAATGAGAGAGAGAATTTGGCGTGCTTCAACAACGCACACACACACACACACACACACACACACACACAGACACACACACACCTACGGCAACCGCTGACGGATCTCCCTCTTTCGTGCCAGACGAATGACGAACACAGCAGTCCGAGGAGGAAAATAGACTTCTATATGAACCACCGGCAGACCGATGTGCTCATAGTTTATCACCACCAGGGCGAACTGTTGTGGATCATATCCTGCAGCAGCCGAATGCCCTTGCGTTGGACCGATCCTCCCTGTCGTCGTCTGCCCATAGAGAAGGAATATATAATGAGGAAGCCCAAGAAAGATGCTCCATGCCGTTTTGTGATGACCCGCCGGAGATTCAACTAGCATGTGGTTCACATGCCTTGTGCCGTGAGGATTATGAAAGTATAGTCACATGCGAGTTTTTGCTTCCATTTGTATGATGACAGTCAGTACTGTACTCATGTACGGCACCCCGACATGTCATGTCCAATTTGTAGACAGGGGCTGGAACTGCAATGCCTCTATGATTGCGGTCGACGTGCCTCTGTGTTCCTAGCAGCCAAGTAGCCTGTGACATCTGTCTGCGCCGTGCCATTCGATGCAGCAACTGTGACTGCGAATATTGGATGTGGTGCTTCCATAGCCCGCACCCGAATCGGTCCTGTCCGGTCTGTAGCGGTGGCCAGTTGCACAGTTCAGCGGTGAATATTTAGAAATCTGTGAAACCCGTTATACGCCTTTCCCCTGCTCTTTTTTGAATGTCATACTCTATCCGGCCCTCCCGTTGCCCCTACCTCCCCTGCCCCATACTCCTAGAGAACTCTGCCTTCTACCCCTTACCCTCCACCCTCCACTCCACTCCCCTTGTACTACTAACAAATACATACGAATGAGCATCATTAAGAGTATATAGACGATATGAAGATCAGAAATGAAGTGAACGGAAGTATGAAGATGAAGGACGGACACAGACTGTATAAGCTGAAGATCTGAAGTGAAATGAACAGGAGTATGAAGCTCTGAAGAGAAGCACAGGAGCGTACCTTCCCTTTTACTCTGCCTCCTGAAATAACGTGCAAGTGGGCCGTGAAGGCACACGGGTATGTGGGCAGCTGCCACTCAACCACAATCAACGTGGGCAGCCTTGTGCATAAGAGGCACAGTTAAAGGGGAGCTGCAAGAACAATGAAAGGGGTACCCCAAGGACAAGCAAGAAACTGTCTAATTATAAAATTGCTTTAATATGTTGGACATCTCAAATGCTCTCGTTGGCTGCAATAGGACAAAGACTGCTTTGATTCTGAATCTATTCACCTGGGTGGAATTGGGGCTGTTGTGGGGAAAATCTAAAACACACACACACAACCTCCTGATGAGTCGGTGAAAGTCCGACGAAACAGTCTGGTACAGTCATGCTTTTTTTGAGTGTATAGCGAATATGACAACACACACACACACACAAACACACACACACACTGACCGATTTTGCAGTGTATATGTTCTGGCTGAAGATTCATTCCGATTTTGCTCATCCTACACACACAGACACACAGACCGACATTGCCACGCTTCACGAAATGAGCAGAATGGGACTGAATCTTCCCCTAGAACATGGAAGTATCCATTGCCACAACATGGAAATATACACTGCCAAAGACCAAAAATGTGGCAGTGTGCAATGAACCCAGATCGTGAAGGCACTTGTCAACAGTGCAAGCCCAGATAGATAACAACCTGCTGATGATTATCAATAATCATAACCATGTCCAGATATAATGAGATGGGGGAAACATACACAGACGAAGAAGAGAGGAGGGAGAATAGACTTAGAGAGTGGAGAGAGCGACAATGCCCACTTCTTCCTCGGGCTCCCTCCTTGATCACCACCTCGGTAATCAATAATCTAAACGCGCATCTGAAGTACTATCACAATGTGCCACGTGGCACATCAATCAGTTCTCATCATCAAGCTGGAGCAATGTCGACGTCGAGATAACCAGGTACGTATCCACTATCGCCACACAATCATGATCTCCTCCCGAATGTCTTCTCAACAGAACAGCAATACCAGTCACGAAGCCTCGCCACGTCAACAATAATAAAATACGTGGCAGCGGCCACATCAGCAGCAGCGCGTGGCAGCTGCCACGTCAGCATGCCCTGAAGACAATTGCCAGCCAGCCACCATGCCAAGCCAGCAGCGCGTCGCGGTAGTCGCCCAAGTGCCAGCGTAGAGCCAGCGTCCAACCATTGTCGAGCCAGCGTCGATGTCAACGCGAGAGGTCAGCATTGACACAAGACAGAATGTTCCTCGAAGCCAAGAGGTCAGCGCTTTTGTAGCGTTGACGCGGGGTCTGGACCCCAGGTGCTGCTTCCTTCAGCCGTCGAGATCTCAATGCAATTGACGGCCCAGATTGGCCTGAAGCCGAATTCCCTGTGGTCTTGATGCTGTCTGGGTACCTGCGCACAACAAGTGAGTGTATCCGACCAAGGGCCTGGGCGTGGTACCTTTGTCCTGACAGTTGACTTAGACCCTTGACTTTCCAAGGGCAGTGCGTGGTCACACTGCCTGGTGCAGGCCGAGTTTGGCCTGCGTTGTCTGGGCTCCGTTCGAGGGCCCAGACCACTGCAGAACACGGGTTACTGCAAGTGTACATTTCCATGTTCTAACGACAGATTCATTCCCGTTTTGCTCATCGTATGGATGGAAAACTCTCTCTCTCTCTCTCTCCTCTCTCCTCTCTCTCTCTCGCGCGCACGCGCGTGCGCACGGGGTGACGTTTGCATCTGACAGCTCCTTAGTCCATACTCACACCGGGATTTCTTTTCGATGTATCTGTCCGTCGTGGTGTATCTTCCTATGTTCTTGCGGAAGATTCCTTCTCATTTTGCACATTGGCAGGCTGCTCAGTCGATGCACACGAAAAAAAAAGAAAAAAAAGTGTGGCAGTGTATATTTCCATGTTCTGGCTGAAGATTCATTCCGATACTGCTGATCCTACACACACACACACACGGATGGACATCGCCACGCTTCCTGCCGTGTATAGACAGGACTGGGGCTCGGCTTCGCTGCACTGGGTCCACTTGTGGTAGTAATGATTGAGGAGTGTTGGTCATCCAGAGGACTTTGCAGCAAGGTGGCGAGAAGGGGTCCCAGCGCTTGCTATATGTTGGTATCTTATATTCTTCATTGTGTGATTTATGGTTCTTGACTATGCATGTTTGAGAATCAGGATGACTTTCTGTGGATGGCAATTGAAGGCTTATTACAGCTTTTATCTGCTGCCTAGCCCCAGTGCTGTTTCCCAATTTGCTTGGACTGATACTTTGGGTTTTTGCACTCTTCCTGGATTCTGTGTGCAGGTAGAAGTTATAATTCCCTCTTTAAATCCTCCTAATCCATCTATGAAGCCTCGTGTTCCCCCTCCGGCTGCAACAAAGGCAGCTGTACAGTTCTGCACGGAGCTGGGTAGTGACGAGGTTCCTTCTGTGACTTTAATTAAACTGGGAAAGCATCCTGTAAGTAAAACCTTCATACGTGCTTCTACGCTTGTTTGTTTGTTTCGTTTGTCTGTTGGTATGTTTGTTGGTTTGTCGATTGCCAGTTTCTTGATGTGTTTGTTTGTCTCTTTCTTTCTTTCTATTAGTTTGATTACTCATCTGGATGTTCATTCATTCAGTCGGGCATTCACCGGGTCATTCGCTTGTTTGTCTGTGCATCAGTGTGTGTGTGTGTGTGTGTGTGTGTGTTGTGTGTGTGTGTTGGTTTGTCACTGAAAAAACACAAAGCAAAGTATCCCTTTCCAGTGCCCTGATAGAGTCAACAATGGAAAGAAGTGCAGGGTTCCCCTGTGTGTGGTTAAGTGGTCCACTTGACAGTTGCACTGTGAGAGAGAAATTAGCAGACACTTCGTGGGATGCTGTCACATACTGCGCCTGCAACATGCTGCACCTGAAACGAGGGCCATTTTCAGGCCCTGTGTTGTTTTCAGCCTAAAAGCCTGAAAACAAGGGCCTACAGGTCCTGTGTCGTTTTCAGCCTAAAAGCCTGAAAACAAGGGCCTACAGGCCCTGTGTAGTTTCAGCTTGAAAGCCTGAAAACAAGGGCCTCCAGGCCCTGTGTCGTTTCAGCCTAAAACAGGGCCTTCCAGGCCCTGAGTGTTTTCAGCCTTAAACGGAGGGCCATTTTCAGGCCCTCATAAGATCGACCTGCCCTGAAACTTAGGCACCAGACCAGGGTTTTAGCACAGGCCATTTTGGGCCTGTTTTCAAGACAACCTTTGTTTGAGCTTCAACGCCAGGGTCTGGCACGTTTTGACATTGGCAAGAGCAGCCTCCTGGACGGGCCAGCACTATATAAAACTGGCCCGCCCTGCAGGCTGCAGGGAGTTCATAGGGACTTCCCGGGCACTTCACGTGCAGTTCAGGAGGTGGGAGGTAGTCTTCAGGATTCGGCAGCAGCACTCTGGAGGAGCGCTGCAGTAGTAGTAGTAGCGTTAGCAGTAGTCTTCAGCGCTGGGCGCTAGTAGGAGCTAGAGTATTGCTGGAGAGAGAGAGATTGGGCGGAGGCCAGGGAGACTTACCTGCAGCGTCATAGCTCCAGCTTCGTCTTCGAGGTACCTGCAGCACAGCGCCATCTTCACAGGTTAGTACCTGGCACA